TAAAAAATATATAATGGGGTGCAATTTGTTGTACTAAAAAAATTGAGAAAAAACCAATGAAGACATATTTAATAGACTTTTGTTAAACTCCGATCCTATAGTTTCAAGTATGAGCAAAAAATATGAAAAAAAACCGGTTCTACCAAAAGCGGCATTGGATCTCCTTATTCTTTCAAATGACTCAAATAATAAGAATAACTCTGCAGAAAGCAGTGATGATAGTTTCGATGATGATAGTGAGAATGAAAATTACAAAGAATAAGAAAATAACCGCAATAATTCACTACCCACTTTCAAATTAATCCTAACATATATTATAAATCTCTTTGTAAGTCTGATCGTTTGTTTGGTTGTTCGTCAATCACGCCTAAGCGGCTGGACCGATTTTCTTCAAATTTGGAACATGAACATAGATCTATACTTGGAGAGTGTTATAGGCTATATATTTTTTTCAGAACTTGGACTAGGAGGGGGCAAAAAGGGGGTAAAATGGGTGAAAACGGGCAAAATGAGTACTATTGATAGTAAATACTGATTTTGTTTATCCTTAAGCAAAATCATTTTCGATTAAACTACTTAATTTGTTAGAAATATAAATTAATAAAGTGCCGTTGCGAAAATTGGACCGGAAGGGGACAAAAAAAATAGGCCAAATGGCGAATATCTAACAAAATTAGTACTTTTGTGCTTTAAGAACGATTTTTTCTATTCTAAAGCCAAAATATTATAATAAACTATGATTTTGATAGTCTCAGACATTATAAATCTCTTTGTAAGTCTGTTCGTTTGTTTGTTTATTTGTTTGTTTGTTTGTTCGTCAATTACGCCTAAGCGGCTGGACCGATTTTCTTCAAACTGGGAACATGGTAGATCTATACTTGGAGAGTGTTATAGGCTATATATTCTTTTCAGAACTTGGACTAGGTGGGGGCAAAAAGGGGGTACAATGGATGAAAAACGGACAAAATGAGTACTATTGATAGTAAATACTGATTTTGTCTATCCTTAAACAAAATCATTTTCGATTAAACTACTTAATTTGTTAGAAATATAAATTAATAAAGTGCCGTTGCGAAAATTGGACCGGAAAGGGACAAAATATAGGCCAAATGGCGAAAATCTGACAAAATTAGTACTTTTGTGCTTTAAGATAGATTTTTTCTATTCAAAATATTATAAACTATGAATTTGATAGTCTCAGACATATGTTCATATATTTAGAACTCCTACCCTTAGGGGAAAAAGCCGGTAAAAAATGGAAATCTGTATTTGCTGCGTAAAGAGACTCAATAAATGCATATTTTCAGACAATTTATACTACTTCAATGAATAAATAAAACAAATAAATAAACAAGTAAAAATTTATAGTTGATGATGGCTGACGATATGATGCCCTACACCAGTGATTACGTTACAATTGTTGATTATTTTTTTAATAATAAAACATTTAAATTAATTTTTACTTTATTTCAGAAATATTTTAACAATTTATTGACAAAAAAGGATTTTCTGAAAGAGGGTTATATGGGGGTAGGTGGTTAATATGGGCCTATCCCTATAAATTTTGATGAAGGGATTAACGTCTACATTAGAGATATTTATGTAGAATATCGCCGTAATATTAGTGTTTATAAGTGAATTTGAACCATCAAGTCCTTTTATGAAGGGGACATTATATGGGGGATGTGATCAAATGAGGACCGATCATTGCGAAAATCAGCAGTGTCATTAAAACTTATAAAAAACTTAGTTTTGCATATTTTTGGTGTGATACAAGAACATTTAACATATTTATGAGCTCAAAAGCCATATTCGGAGGTGCGATTGTATGGGGGCTATGCGAAATAATGGTCCGATTTTAAACATTTTCAACAGGATTCTTTCTTGGAAGAGTATGTGCCAAATTCATCAAATTATCTTGCAAATTGCGACCTGTAGCGTGTGCATAATGTTTTTAATTACACTAAATTTGAAACATAGTTAGATATATAGGTGTATGGTGTGATATACTATATTCTTTTCCAAAACTTGGATAAGAAAGGTCAAGAAGGGGTATGTGGATGAAAAAGTGACAAAATTCCTACTTTTGGGAGTAAATACTAATTACACTGAAAAAAATCCATGCCTAATATATACGAAATTGTACGAAATATTTTGGTATAATGCAAAATAAAAAAAAAAAAACAAGTAGGAGTGTTATATTCGGCTATGCCGAATCTTATATACCCACCATCAAACCTCGTTTGAATCGAATGAAACTTATGTCGAATTTCATCTATATACTCGTATTTTTAGGCCAGTTATAAGCGTTAAAGTAATTTTCTGAAGGGGACCTTATATAGGGAGGTAGGGTCAATTATGGGTCGATCCTCATAAAATTTGGTAGACAGAATTTGGTTCGTATTAAATTTATTTGTGCGTTGCAGTCATTTTCTGAAGGGGACCTTATATGGGGGGTAGGGTCAATTATGGACCGATCCTCATAAAATTTTGCATAGTGATTTTGGATCACAAGAAACTTACTTATGTCGAATTTAATCGCTATATTCGTATTTTTAAACAAGTTATGGCTGTTAAAGCTGCTTTTCGAGGGGCCACTTGTATGGGGGCTATCCGAAAACGTGGACCGATATTGCCCATTTTCAATACCAAACAAACCTTACCTATAAGAAATATTTATGTGAAATTTCAACCCTCTAGCTCTTTCCATTCGGACTCTATCGTGCTTTCAACAGACAGACAGACGGACAGACATGGCTAGATCGTCTTAGAATTTAATGAGGACCCAGAATATATATACTTTTGTGGGTCTATGACCAATATTTCGATGTGTTACAAACGGAATGACAAAATCAATATACCTTCATCTTTTTTGATGGTGGGTATAAAAATAATAATTTACATAAATTGAAAACGTGAATTTTTAATAAATATGGTAAAATTTACGAAATATTAATTTATGCAAACATTTTTGTTAATTTTAAAATTATTTTTCTAATTTTAGTTAAAAAATATTCTCCACACGAATTTTTCATTTTTTTATGAAAATAGTGCGTCAAATATATTATACTTTTTCTTAAATTTTATAAAAATGTTGTAGTTTTATCTAATGATAATATACTTAATATTATTATGTTTAATTTCGCTAAAATTTATGAAAAAATATTACGAAATGTTTAATATAATAAGTAATATTTAAGTAATATTTCGTATTATACACGAAATTTTTGTAAATATTACGCAAATATATGTTAAGAATTTTTTTTTCGTAAAGTTGAGCATGGATTAATTTCCCTAGAGGGAAAAACAAAAAAAAAAATCAAAATAAATGTGCAAAAACGGCTTATTATGCGTGCCTTTGCTACATTTTTTGTAGTTTTATGAAATTTGAGAAATATATATTTTTTTATTAATATTTTTCTGCAATCGGTTAAAATATGTGTTTTTGAAAAATGTTTTTGCAAAATATCATTAAAGAGGGAAAGGTTCCTCTCTGACGTGATTTTCTTAATAAATATTCTACAACATAGATTTCTGAAATGATACAAAATATATTAAACAAAATACATAAAGTAGTATGTAGTATTTTTGGTACTGTGTTGGTATGTTTTATAAATATTGTTCAAATTCAATGAAATTTCTTTTATAGCTTTATAAGATCACAAAAAAATTGCAAGGAGTTTTTTTTATAAGGAGACCTTCAGCATTTTTGGAAACATGAATAAGTTAGGGAAAAATTAGCACTTTATGCTTTAAGTCAAGAATTATTCTTTCTCCTAAGTTAAATATGTATGTATATTATAGTTTTACCTAACTAGATATTATTAGAATTATAATTTTGGAATCTTTTAGCTTTGTAAATTGGAAAAAAAATTGTGAAGTAATCTCTTAGTGAGGAATAAAATGAGTAAACTTTTTTAATTTCGTAAATGCTATATTATGTTATGTAAGTCAACGAAATTTTTATATTTCTAAATGTTGAAAAATTTCAGAATTTGATCTATGGACATAAAGCACATTTTTTAGTTTAATCTAACGGGAGAATACTTTAGTATAATGTTATGAAACAACTTAAAACCCCGGGCAACGCCGGGTACAAAAATCTAGTAAAAAATAAATTTTAGTTATATTATAAGATATTTTATTTCTTTGGTTAAATATTGGTATATTTTTTAAGTTATTAATATTGTGGGTCTATTTCGGTTGTAATTTCTATGTGAACTAGGAGAAATAATGGACCAATTCAAACTAAACAATGCGCGACAGATACTTTATATGGGAACTATGATTAAATATGGACATACCATTTTGAATATAAAAAAACATATTTAGTATAAGCTCTAAAACCATATCCGGAAGGTCCATTTGTATGGGAGCTATGCGAAATAACGGAGAGGTTCTCACCAAATTGTAGTTCCGCCTTTTTGAACAATATAAACCTATGTGCCAAATTTTATTATGATATCTTCAAAATTGTGACTTGCACTCATACAAACATATTTAAAATTAAGTCACGGGAATTTTTTTAATTCCAAACATTATTTTTTTACATGAAAATAAATAAACAAATACGACAATAACAAAAAAAATTAATTTTACCCTCCACTGAATTAAGAGCCATTTTCGACGCTTTTACCCCAATGTGCGACGCTGGGACACAATATATTTTTGTAATAACCATTTTATACTGAAATAAATACGATATATAAAAAACTTGTAGTTTTTTTGTACCCAAGTGAGTACAGTCGGAACGAATGGGTTAAAAAATCTTAAAAAAATAAAAACTATTTTTTGGATAGAATGAAGAAATAGCTATCTGAACTCCTTTGGATAATTTTTGCTAGGACCAATTGGTGAACAGTTACGCTCATTTGAATAAAACCCTGTATGACCAAAATGTCCAACTTTGACCCCATGTGCGTCCGGCAGTTCTTGACCGATGGCCTACTATCCTATAGTACTGACAAATGCTATAAAAATTATCAATGAAATAATCATACCTCTAACAACATCCGGTGGTAATTCACTTGGTTGATTTTCACGTATAATTAATTCTGGTTTTCTCGGTTGAATTGGCTCGTCATCTTCAACAAATTTAGGAGCAAACAATAACTTGAAATGTATAGTACAATATACAACTCCTTCGTGACTTTGATATGTATCTAGTCTTTTAAGTGACAAAAACAACAAAAAGTTATAAATAAAATTTAAATGCATTTTGAAAAACATATAAACTTACTTTAATTGCTTGTTGCATTCATTACATCTGAAACAGCTCTTGTGGTAAATATTCTTTTCAGCTTTTACCTCTTCCATTTTATAAACCGGCTTATCACATAGAAAACAATTTTTTTTTACTTCGCCTTGTGGTTGCTATTTAAATAAACAATATAAATAATTAATTATACAGTGATATTAAAGTGAGCGGTAGCGTACATATGTACACTAGAGTGACCGCAAAAAGTCAATGTTGGAATCTTGTTCGTCTTAACCCCACAAAATGTTTCCCCTTTACAGATATTGAGATAGCCGAAATTTGAGCTCGATTAATATGCGTTTAACCGTCTTGTCTATACCCGAGCAAAATTACGTACATCAATACCCAACATATTCGTATATGTAATACAATTTATATGGCTATTTCATCTATTTATACATTTCTAGTGTATAATTCAGATAATTATTAAAACTAATTTAATAAAACGTCTGTATATATAAATTAAATAGTTTTTGATCATAAACCATTAAATTTTAGCAATTTTTAAAGTTTTCTTATTGCTTTAATATTAACAAAAATGTCATATACAAAAAACCTAAAGAAAAACGCCTTCGCAACGTATAATGTACATTATGCAGAATTTGACTTTGTAAAATTTTGACTTCAAGAAGCTATTACTCTGTGACCGGGAAAGATAATTGAACAAAAGTTTTTATATAATATTTATTAAGGTGTATAAAATCGATTAGCATTAAAGAAATAGTTTTTGCTTTCGTAAGTGGGGAACTTTTTTGCAAAAAAAGATTGCTAAGTCATGGTCAAAAATTAAAATTTAAACTTTAATATTTTTGTTTATATGAGAATAAAATTATTATAATCAGCATAATTTTTCTTTACTATTTTGATGAAAAAATTTTTTTAGTCCAAATTTCAAGCCGATACGATAAATAGATCTCGAGATATATCACTTCAAAAATTAAAAACATACCCGGGTATGTGGGTAAGTCAAACAGAGTTACAACAGATTTTGTATCCAAAAACGTAACCTGGTCGCGGTAGGAGAATACTTCGTATATTTTGATATTATGAGATATATGTTACTATTAGGTAAATATTTTGCACATTATTGTTAAAGAATCATAATGTACATAGATTTAGAATTTCAAAAAAATTTAAATCACAGAAATTGATTGAAAAATATGAAAGTTATTAAAAATTCCCCAGGCCATTAACGTGTCTCAGATCACTTGATTAGGAAATGTGGGAAAAATATTAACTTGTTTTGGAAAATATTCTAATAAATCTATTTTATTACATAAAATCTATATGTACACTGAAAATAATCCATGCTTAACTTTACGAAAAAAAATTTCGTAACTACTTTTTTCGTAATATATACGAAAATTTCGTGTATAATACGAAATATTGTTTAATCAACCCCTTTTCTAATTTTACGAAAGTACGAAAACCTGTCGTAATATCTTTTTTCGTATATATTAAGAAACTTTGTTTTCTTTTACAAAAATAATTTCGTTAAGGCATGTAATATTTAACGAAAGTAACGAATTTTTTCGTAACAAGATTATTTAGTAATATACAAGAATTATTTTTGATTTCACAAAAAAATTATTTTGTTACGATTTTTTTTTTTGTTATTTTCGTAATTTTAAGGGAGTTAAATTAAACGTAATTTTTAATTTACAGGAAATTAGCTGCCTAAATTCCTGCAAAATTTTTTATGTTTTTTTAAAAAACGTAAAAAATTTTTTTTTTTTTTTTTTAATTCGCAATCTTTTTCTAAATTTACAATAATTATTTTAAAAGAACTAAAATATTTATGTCTTTAAAAAAATCGTAAAATGAATATTTTTTTCTAAAATTAAATAAAATTATTTTGCATTTTACTAAAATCTTTCGTACAATTTCGTATATATTACGAAAGAATTTCGTGGTGCGAAACCACGAAGCATTTCGTACAATGTACAACATTTTTCGTGTATATTAGGCATGGATTATTTTCAGTGTATAAAAATGAATGTGTGTTTGTTTGTTAGTTTGGACTTTATAGACAGCTAAACGGCTGAACCGATTTTTCTGAAATTTTCACAGTCTCTTCCTGCATGTCTCAAAGGAACTATAGGCTACTTTTTACTTTAATATTTTAAGTGGGAGACGTGCCACGCCAAAATAAGCATTAAAAGTCCTCAAATTTTGTATGCAAAACTTTGACATCCATATGAACATATAAGAATAAAATGGGCAATGTAGCTATAGTGGGCGTGGCACCTCGCATCTAAAGAAAATCTTAAATTAGTATATCTGAGAAAATATAACAACTAGAGTCCTCATTTTTTTTCGATGGAACTTAAGTATCAAATTGAATGTTTAGGACAAAAAATGGGTGTACTAGCAAAAGGGGGCATGGTACCTCCCATATGAGTTATGATATGTTGATGAGTTAATCTAGGAAACTATTGGAGATAGAATCTTAATCTTAATTTTTCACAAGGACCTTTAACATCCACGTGAATATTTATGAGAAAAATGGGTGGACTTTCATAAGGGGATTTTGGTACCTTCTATACGGATCTAGTATATGTATAAAAATGAATGTGTGTTTGTACGTTTACTTTATTTGTTTGGACTTTATAAACAGCTAAATTTTCATGGTGTTGCTTTATGTCTGGAAGGAACTATATGCTACTTTTTACTTCAAAATTTCAAGTTTTTACTTCAAAATTTCAAGTGGGCGACGTGCCACGCCCATTTACAAAATAAGTATTAAGAGTCGCTTATCTGAGAAACTGTAAGAGCTAGAGTCCACAAATTTTGTATGAACAACTTTAACATTCATTTGAATACATGGGAATGAAATTAGCAGCCTAGCTGCAGTGGGCGTGGCACCTCCCATATTAAGAAAATCTTAAATTAGTATATCTGAGAAAATATAACAGCTAGAGTCCTCACTTTTTTCGGAGGAACTTTAGTATCAAATTGAATGTTTAGGACAAAAATGGGCGGACTAGCAACTTTTAGGCAGTCTTGGTACCTCCCATAAGAATTAAGTACAAAAATTCGTGTATCTGGAAAGCTAAAATCCTCAATTTTGCACGAAGAACTCTGACATTCAATAGGGGCTTGGCACCTTCCATATAAATTAAAAGCAAAAATTCGTATATCTGGGAAACTGAGCTAGAATCTTCAAAAATAGTAAAGGAAGTTCTTTAATTATTATAACTTTAGGATAGCAAAACACATTTGGTATAGCTTAGAGATATGAAGATAAAGAAAATACTTAAATTAATGTATCATGGAAACTAAAACAGCTGGAGTCTCAAATTTTGTGAAAGTCTCTGTAGTAAGTATTCATATTATTATTTAGAGCAAATGACCAAGATCTGCAACGTGAAATGGGTTACAGTCCACAAGATTTAGAGAATTTGGTGGCAGAAAATTTACCGCATCTACAACCAGAGCAGAGAATGGCATACAATACAATAATGTCAACAATTACAAACCAAACAAGTTAGAGTGCTATATTCGGCTGAGCCGAATCTTAAATACCCTCCACCAGCTACTTTTATATTAATACTGTTTTAATTGATCAAATATTTATAGAAATAAGTTTTCTCATGTCTTAAATAGAAAAACCCCAAGAGTTAAACAGCTTAAATCTCTTACAATTCCAAGATTTTTTGAACATTACAAACCCCATTTTCTTTTATATTTTTATAGCGCCCTAAGATATGCTTTAACGATACTTAATAATTAATAATTCTCGGGGGAGTTTTCCAGATTTTTCCTACCGAGCGCGTCCCCGGGTGGCGGATAGGGGGTGGTGATGGACCATCTGTCCTCTCCCAGCTTTAATTTCACTTAAGCTGAGGGAGGGCAGATTGTCCACCACCTGGGAATATTATATTCCCCGCGGACCAAAAAACTGGAAAAAAAAAAAAAAAAAAACAAATATGGAAAATAAAAATAAAAAGATAAAAGTTACGGTGCAGGGCCTAAATAACCCAGTACCGGCGGCAAGTGTTGATCTACTCGCGAGTCACGTGTCGTCGTCATCCTGCAATCGTGAGCAGAATACTACTACGGAGGTGGGTACCTTGGCCTCCGTGGCGGACAATGCGTCAAGTGTACAGCATGCCGCTGGCAAAAATATAGGGGTGAAAGAGAAGGATGTACTCGGAGAGAGCTCTAAGCTACCTCAGCCTTTAAATATAGGTGAGGGTTCCGACTCTGAATCCTCAGATGATAATAATAATAATACCATTATAGCAAATCCCAAAAAGGATGAAGTAGAGCAAATGGTGAAAGAGGTGAGTGATAGCATAGCTAAACTACCTATTACTAAGAAAAGACTTTCTGGAGCACAGAGGAGGAAGTTGAAAAAGATGCTTCAGGAAATCATAGTTAGTCAATCCCACGACACTCCAAAGGAATCGGACTCTCTCACAAGATCTGAGGCAAAAAGGATCAGGTCACCCGAGGAGTTGACAACTGAGAATAAGCCTAAGAAGAAAAAGAGCTCCCCGTCTTCTAATACACAGTCGAAGCCAAGCCATACTTCACTCAAAGGAATCTCAAGTGAGAATCCTGCGAGTAAGGGTGACAACGCCAAGCCAGATATTCCGAAGATGAACACGTCGGCGAAATCAACCTCGAAGGTAAGGGAATCTCAAAAGAAGCCCCGAAAAACGAGGAAGGAGAAGCTAGACGGAGGAAAAGGTAAAGAGCCGCCATCTTACGCCAAAGTTGCCAGAAGTAGGCACCGGGACGATCTCTGCTATGCAGTTTACGATGCCGGTAATCCGACAGGCAAAATTCCAATAGACCAACAGAGTAAAATAGAAGACCTGGTCAACAATAAGATAGTGGACCATGCAATAGCTTCAAAGGGCAAACAACCAATAGAGAGCGAGAGCTGCGAGTTCAGCATGGGCGTGATGTTGATGAGGTTGGCATCTCACCAATGTGTTAGCACCCTAAAGAACTTGGTGGAAAGTATCCCTCCTCCCTGGGACGGCGCTAGGCTGGGACTGGCAAAGAAGAGCGAGCTTCCGGTGCTCCTAAAGTCCACTGTCTACATAAAAGGATGGGGCAGTAAACTGGCTAATGAACGTATACTGGAAATTCTTGGAGGTCAAAA